TGGTTCACCAAAACTTGTGCTCCCTAAGGCTAGGTGTATAAAGCTCCTATTCTAAGGGAAGACATTTAGAGGAGGTTAACTACAAGTCAGATGGAAAGGCCTGATGGTCCTTTGAAGATACAGAGGTAGGGCAGACAGCCATGCATCTTCTTTCATGTCATTGACCCGAGGCCAGCATCTTTCCATTAAGCTATATTGTTTCTAATGGAGAAACAAAGGAGGAAATGTATAAGTTTTGTTCAGGCATAATTAAACATTATCAAAACCTTTCCTGAAACTTTATGTATTTCTAACGTTGAACCATTTAATGAGTGGCAAGGATTTTGATGAAATTTTTTTTACCATCTCACTAGCTCTAATTACTAAAGAGATAGGAGCTACATCACCTACAGAGGCAGCAGACAGATCACATCCCTAAAAGGGCTACTCTCATGGCCCCAGGCTTTGGGGGTGGGACTGGTAGCGCTTTGGTAGTTTGGGAGGGGGGGCATAGCCTCCATTCCTAACCCTTTTTGGCTTCCTGGCTGATCATAAAAGAGAGACTTTGAATGTCTCACGGCCCTGCAGCTCATCCTTGTCATCTGGCTTAAGTCATATTAGATCAGAAGCATCCCCTCCTTTCTTTTTTATTAAGTGCCTTCCATCTAGAAGGCACTCTGGATGAAGGGCAGCATAGTTTTATACAATTCCAGCTAAGGAATTGTACATAAATAAAATATAAAAAATAAAAATTGTATATAAATAAAAATGTTCACCAGTATCTTTGCTACTATTAAATGGTTCAACATTAGAAATATATGAGATTTTATTAAAGGTTCTGGTCATGTTTTATTATTGCCTGTACAGACTTTGTGCATTCACCTCTGACATGGCCATAACATACTCCTGCCCCATACTCCATCTGAACCCTCTTCTAGCTGGGTGTATCTGTCACTGGAATATGCTTAGTTCACGTGTTTCCCTACAACTTAGGTTGAGCACATTTCCTAATAACAGAACGTGCTATCCAGAAGGTCTCCACGTGAAAGTGGATGACTATTTGTTTGTCCCGTATATTGTAGAGGAGATTTTTGTTTAAGTGTGAATTGGACTAGATGGCCCAAGATCTTTTCTAATGGACATTTTGTGATCCTAAGATTATAATATATAGTTATATATAAACTGTTTCAGATGGTGGTGTTCTCCAGAACTATTACAAATCACACCTTTATTAAGCACCAACTACATGCGAGGCACTGTGCTAAGTGCTAAAGATACAAAGAAAGGCAGAAACAGTCTCTGCTCTCGAGGTGTTCACATTCTGGGGGGAAGGGGGAAAGGCAAACATACGAATAACTGTATACATGCCAGAAATACATAGTGTAAGAGGTGGAGAGTACTCTCAGAGAGGAGGCCCCAACAGAGAGGGAGACTGGGAAAGGTCTTTTGCACAGAAGGTGGGTTTTGAGCTTAGGGCAGACTGCCTTCCCTGAAGAAAGCCAGGAAAACCAGGGAGTGGAGGTGAGGCTAGAGAACTTTCTAGGGATGGGAACAGCTAATGAAAAGTTGGGAGTATCACTGAATCCGAGCCAATGTACATGGAGCAGGGGAATGTGTCAGACGACTGGAAAGACAGAAAGGAGCTGGGCTGTGAAGGGCTTTGAAAACCAGACAGAGGACTTTCTGTTTGACCCCAGAGTTGATAGGGAGCCACTGGGGCTGATGAGGAGGAGGATGCCACGGTCAGGCTTAGGCTTTTTAGAAGATCCCTTCAGCAGCAGAGGGGAAGATCAGGAGAGAATGGGGAGAGATGGGAGGTAGGGAGAACAAGTGGAAGACCTTGGCAGTAGTCAGTGATACGATGAGAATATTGTGAAGGCAGACTTTGGCTGTAGACTGGAGATATGGACACTGAGTCTGGAGGCCTGCTGAACTGGGAGGATGGTAAAGCTCTCACCAGTTAAAGGAAAGGCGGAGGTGGGGCAGGAAAACGCGAGTTTTATCTTGGACATGTTGAGTTTGAGGTGTCTGTGGGACATCCCACTGGAGATGGACAAGAGGCAGCTGGCAATGATAAGTCTCGTTCACGAGGTTCTGCAGTATGCTGGGACTTGTAAGGAGTACGGTGTCATCTGTGAAGACTAAAATCCGGAGGAGACATCTTGGAGGAGGTCACACTGTAGTAAATAGAAGAGTCCAAGTACCAACGTCACAGTCTTCCATCTCCTAATCTAGTGTGCTTTCCATAAAAATCACTTTGGCGGGGGAAGCTAAGGACGAAGACGCACATCCAGCAGGCTACTGTCATGACTTGCCTTTGTGGAGGGAAATTCATTTGCTTATAAAAAGTAACATCTTTTGCATATATGCACATCTGTGTGTATTAATGCACATACACATATGTACAAATATCCATCCATCTATCTATCTAGGACAGGAGTTCATGGCCAGCTTTCTAGCTCCACTGTTGCCTCTTTTAGATTTATCACAGTGGGCCTTGGCCCACTGATTGTCAGGGGCACAAAAGGAGTTGAAAGAAATTCCCTTGCCCTAATTCAGAATTGAACACAGGAGGGAAGTGAATAGGTTGGATTGCTAATTCTTGTAATGATTTTAAGGCTTCTTCCTGAAACAGACATCCGTCTTTTTAACAAGGCCATTCTTTCAATGATGTATGGCTTTGAGTCATGAAATACTCCATTCTCTGAGGCACCAATGAAGAGATTGCACCCTCATTTGAGTAATAGAGTCACCTTAGACGTGCTAGCCTCATCAGTACAATGGCAATATCTGTGCTGCTTGCTTCACAAGATTGTGGTGAGAGGCACATGAGATTCTGGACATGTCATATGTCATGCAAGTTTAAGGTAATGGTACATAAGCAAGACTGGATCCCTAGTTTAGATACTTGAGTTATTTCTTCCCAGCAGTACCTTATTGTCTCTTTGCAAGCAGCATGTTTCTGTTCTGGCGGGATGGCATCACTAGGAGAGTGGTAGTCTGCAAAATGAATCAAAACATTGGGAAAGTCTGCCATTATGTACAGGCTTCCACATCCATAGTCTCCCACTTCTGCAAACAAGCTAGTGTAGGTGTCTTCCCCTATTGCTGGCTGGGGACCAGGCCTGATCGTTATAGTTTTGCAACATTCCATTTGGATTGGTAGTTGTCTTCTGATCTCAAGTCCAGTCTTCTTGCCACTATGTCATGCTGCAAAAAAAGGTGGTTTGTTTTTTAAACAGCTTTTGCTCTTGTTCTGGGAGGTGGCTAAGTAGATTAATAGCATTCTTGAGATTATTATCCCAAACTAGATGATTTATAAGAAATGAAAGTAGCAAGAGATGACAGCTTTGTTGGCGAAAAGGAACAAGAGCAGTGAGGCACAGCTGGTTGTTGAGAAATTGAGCCATGAGAAATGTCCCTTCATGACACAAGCTTTCATCTGCTGTCCAGGGAGTATTTCTTCTTCTGACAGCATGGGAGCCTTTCATCAGAATGAAGGCAGAGAATGATTCTGTTACTTGATTTTCCTTCATTTACATTGCTGTTCAAACAATCATTTTTATTTATTTTTATGTTCTTTTCTTTTTACATTTTGAGTTTCAGATCCTCTTTCCTCCCTCTTGACACCACCCTTTCCCTCACTGAGAAGGCACACAATGTATCATTTATACATGTGAAATCATGCAAAACATATTTTCTCCTCGACCTGGGAATTTGGCTATAATATTCCTGGGAGTTTTCATTTTGAGATCTCTTTTATAAAAGGAGGTGATTGGTGTATTCTTTCAATTTCTATTTTATCCTCTGGATCTAAGATATTGGGGACGCGTTTGCCTTTATAATTTCTTGAAAGATGTCTAGGCTCCATTTTTGATCCTAGCTTTCAAGTAGTCCAATAATTCTTAAACTATCTCTCTTCATTCTGTTTTCCAGGTCAGTTGTTTTTTCCAAAGATAGTTAATTTTCTTCTATTTTTCATTGATTTGACTTTGTTTTATTGTCTTGAAGTCTCATGGAGTCATTAGTTTCCACTTGGCAAATCTAATTTTTAAGGAATTATTTTCTTCAAGGAGCTTTTGTACCTCCTTTTCCATTTGGCCTATTCTGCTTTCAAAGGAGTACTTTTTCTTCAGTGAATTTTTGTGCCTTTTTTACTGTTAGGCCAATTCTGTTTTTGGGGTTTTCTTGTTGTTGTTGTTGTTTTTCCTATAATGCTGTTTTTAGAGCTAACTCTGGGGATCTGCAATTTTTTGCTTCTTCCAAGGTGGTGTCTCCTGGGAGAGGTGTGGTCATTGTTTTCGTGGTTTGTGCTCTGGTCTTTACTGGAAGAGCCCCTGTTCCCCTACAGCTGTAAGTAGTAGCACTCCTCTTGGTCCTGGAATTGTGACCAGGGCCCTTGCCACCCTGTGACCAATCACAAACACTCCTCTCCACCTGGAACTGTGATCCAGAACTGCATGTGGACAAGAGAGTTGCTGCATCCTGTGCCAGCAAAGGGCCCCCTGGAATCTCTTTCTGACCAGTTGCCTGATCCCCTTCCTGTCTCTGGGCTGAGAGCTGTCAAAGCTGCTGTTTCTTTAGCTGCTTCCAAGGCCCCCCACAGGTGCTCCCGTAGACCTCCTAAGTTGTGTTAGGTTGGAAAAATGTCTCCCTTTTGTTGATTCTGCCACTCCAAAGTTTAATTTGAGGTGTTATTTTAAAGTTGTTTGGAGGAAAATATTGGGAAAAATGATGGCAGCTTATACTGTGCCATCTTCAGTGTGCTCAGTCTTAATTAACTGCTTTATTATTTGACTTAGAGTTGCTGCCCATTTGTCTGCTGAATCCAAACCCAGTGTTCTTTGTGTCATACCAACTCCTAGACCTGACTGGATTCCCTCTCTCTCCCCTCTGACTTCTTCTTTCTTCTCCATCTTCTCTCTTGAAGATGTAATTGGCTATGACCGAATAAATCCACATATTTTTCCTGACTTTCTTAGTACATAGTTATCTTCTCTTTATTTTTTCTCCCTCTGCAGGCTCCTAACCGTCAACTCATGACGTACTGGTTACAAGAACTGCAGCAGAAGAGATGGGAATATTGCAACAGTCTCGATACTGTGAAGCGGACAGCAGGACCTTCCCAAATGCTGGTGACTTTTCCAAAGGTCTTGTTGCCAAAGATAACACAGGTGAAGTCAGAAACTGAGGGAATGTGGGAGAACTCGTGTACTTTGGTGTCATAGAGTTAAAATGTTATTATCTTTTGTCTTAACATTGCCTCCATTTCTCAATGGGGTTATCTCATTTGAAACAGTCAGCTAATTTGACAGTGCCTTTCACAGATCCAGAAGAACTATGTGCATGCACCAGAGGGAAGCACGTATGTAAGAATATACTTGGCCTTTCTGGGTGTCACACAAGGGGGAGGCCCTCACATAAGGCTGAAGGTTCCCTGTTACTCTGTGAGCCTATTTCCATTCAAAACGGTAACCCCTGGGTTCTTACTGACGTGGTAACTATTACTGGTCAGCCAGAGGATACAGTTAGTTCAAAGCAAAGACATCTAGTGAAATAGCACAGAAAGAAAAATTGCAATAAAATGTTTCTCACATAAACTTGGGGCATACTCTCCTCCAGTGTACATGCTGTCGGAAGGAAGAGCAGACACAAGCAGAAAGGCATAGTCATGCGACTGGGGCACATGCATGGAGGGCGTGTGAGTGAGGACTTGTGCGGAGGGGCAGTTCACCTCTCCTCGCCCCCCTCCGTTCTGTAGAGCTGCTGATAGCATCTAGTGATGTCATTATGTTGTTGCCTTGGGCCTGCCAGTCTTTGAGATGTTACGGGCACCTGTTGCTGAGAGTTGTTTGGCTGTCCTGTAGTTACAGCTGGTGGTTGCATTGGGAAGTGGCTGTGAAGCTTCTCTCTGCATCTAGCTTAGGGCTTCCTCTTGGATGCTAATTCTTCCTCATAGAAAGCTAAGTGCTTTTTACCTTGTTTTAGTTGGTAGCCTGTAGACAGATTCTCTTTATCCACAAAGCTGCTCTGGTTGGGTGCCTTGATGCTATGGGACTTCTCTTTTCTGGGTACCACATTTCCTTTTAGCCAGTGGCTCTGCCACAGGCAGACGTGGCTCTTGGAGAGAAGGGAAGAGGGAACAATCCCTTCTCTACCCCTACCCACCCCCAGGTGCAAGAGGTTACCAACGATGTCCTCGTAGGGCCTGGCGTCTTATTCCGTTTCCTGAACTCATGTTCCTCAGAGCTGTCTCCTGTCTCACACTCCCTAGTGACCCAAGGTCACTAGGAACGTGGCCAGTGGTTATGCCAGTTTGGCTAGTGCTTCTCTAAGTCTCTCGAACTTGACTCCAATTCTTCCTGCCTTCTCAAGGGGGTAGCATTTGCACTTCATGTAACCCCTCATTGTCCCTGTTACCTTTTGTCATTCTGTCCACTAGGAGGCTGGGAGGAAATCATCTAATCAGGGGTAACTTTATTAATCAATCCTCTCTCCTCCCCAGATAAAGCATATTGTATCTAACCTCTTGTCTAAGTATATACAAAGCACATATAAGATAGATGAAAGGTCACGTAGGGGTGAAGTGGTCACAGCCGGGGGGAATCAGGAAAGGCTTCCTGCAAAAAGGGATATTTAAGCTAAGTCCTCATGGAAACTAGTGGTTCTGATAGATAGAGATGAGGTGGGAATGATTGTGGGCATAGGAGATCGTCAGTGCACAGGACAGAGATGGGCAGTGAAGGTCCAGTACGAGCCCATTTGGCTGGACTGGACGGTCTGGGGAGCTAAGTAGTGTGGGAGAGGGTAGAAGTGATAGTGTTGGGCCACTGGGGCAAGGGCCTTCATTGACTGACACTGGCGTTTGAGTGGCAGGGTGATCTGGTTAGATCTGAGCGTTAGGAAGATGCCTTTGGCATCTGGGTGAAGGATGGACAGGATAGGAAAGAGATATGAGGCTGTCATTGTCTAGATCTGTGAACTCCCACCTCCACTTAGAATGATGAGTTCCTTTGCTTATGTCTTTCAGCTGATAGAGCTGAATGTCTGCTCAGCCAACTTAACGAGTGACTTCTAGGTTTGAGTTCCTATGTCCGATATCAGGAGGGCTGTGGAGACATGTAAGCTTGGGTCTCTGTCCTGACGTCACTTCTGTGAGCCTTGGTTTTTTTTTAAATGAGAGTTTTGGCTACTAGTGAGTAATCACTAATGTTCCTTCCAGGTCCATTATTTTAAATTTGCTGATCCTATAAAGCTGGGAAAAGGAACCTCAGAGATTTGTGGCAAAAATGGTGGGCTTTGAGTTTGGTAGATTTGGGATGCAAATCAAGGTTTTGTGACAGTGGCGGGTCCTTATGACTCTGAGCCTGCAAATAAGGGGCAGTAATGCCTGTACTACCAAGCCCACAGAATCACTTTGTAAGCTATGGAGGGTTACGTGAACATATATTGTGTGATCAGACTGGCTCACTGTATGGGTGAGATCTTCAGGCCTCTTTGTGTTAAGTAGTGTGCCTAGGCTTGCCTAGAAAGTTGGAGCCTCGATGGGCCTTGGCCTTCGTGATCTCCAGGCCCTGACTCTGCTGCACTGGGCTTGGCTGAGATCACTCCCACCCATTCCTCCTTCAGCCAAGGCCCTGCTTGGCAGCTCTAAGTGACTTTGCAGGTTTCCAGCCCTGGCCAGGGAATGATTTGTTGGACCATGATTGAAATGTCTGAAAGATAAACTCCGAGAAAGCAAAGTTCTTTTGGGTGTTCTTAATTTGGCAGCAGGAATAAAAGGAAGCGTTAGACTAAAAATTCTGCTGTTGCTGTGCACATGTTATCAGAAACCACGCCTGTTTTAGGATTAAGGGTAGACATGGAAGTGTAGAGAAAGGGAGTTGGCCAGAGCCACACAGCCAGGCCCTGGCAGCAGAAATAGGACCTGAACCCAGGGCTCCAGACTCCCCATCTAGTGTTCTTACGCCTCTCACAGTACATCCTAATTGTCAACCAGACACAGGCTGCACTGCATGGTTTACTAAGTTAGGAGCCCATTTAAATACTAATAATTTATCTTACAGAACAGAACGTGTGTTCTAAAGAAGTTTAGAATAGTTGTAGCAACATAATTTAATAGAGTGAGGTCATGGGGTCAGAAGGCTCTAATGTGAGTCTTAGCTGTGATGCAGACTAGCTACATGGCCCTGGGCACAGCTCTACCCTTTGGCACCTCAGTTTCTTTATCTGTCAGTTGGGGATAATTAGACTTTCTCTTCCCTGACTTCCTGTGTCATGAGGAACATGCTCCATAGGCTGTAAAGTGCTATGGAAGTGTGATCCCCTGCAGGGGGAGGTCTGTTATTATTGGGCTCACTGTTACCATGATGCCGAGGTCACAGGTAATGATTGCCACCACCACCCTTCCACCACTGAGGAGCATACTTTAGAAATCTTAAGATCACTAACATTTTTTAAAAATCCCTAACATTTTGAAGTGCTGGAGGGGTTGCAGAGGTCCTCTTATCTGACCTCCTCATGTGACAGATAAGGAAGTAGAGGCCTGGAGGAGAAACACACCATAGTCAGGTCAGAACCAGTGATAGAATGCCAGAAACATTGCAGTCAGTGCAGAAAGCAGGGAGCGTTGAAAAATGTTTAAGCAGAAAAGCCTATGAGATCTCAAGTGTCCCTGCTGCTTAGGTGGGGGCTTCACGAACATCCTGAGTCAGAGGAGAGAATATTTCTGAAAGGGTCTGGAACACAGTAAGTGCTTAATAAATGCTTATTTCTTTCCTTTGTCCCTCCTTTTCTTCCTCCCTTCCTTCCCCAATTTGCAGCTTCATGGCATCATGTAAAGAACGGTTATTGAGGACAGAGAATTAATTCTTTTTAAGACTTTAAAGAAAATGTAGATTTTTCAGTTTGTGTTTTACAGTATGACCCCCCCATATGGTTTACCAAATGCTAATGTTGGTCTTTTAAATGGAATTTTGGTTTTTTTGTGAACTTAACAGTCATCAAGTATTGCATTGTTGGAAAAGCTTACAGATCCCTATGCATTTAAATAATTCTTACATTGTCCTACTCTTTTGTTAATCTTTTACCAAGCTGGAAATGATTCCATTTTCAAATCAAGTCATTTTAAAAGGTGCCTTTTTGAAATAATTGCTTCCTTCTCCCATTATCTTCCTTTAGTGGTTGCAATTCCTTGTATGACTTGCACTTATAGCTCTAATAGTATTAATTCTAGTGGAAAGAACACTGATTTAGGGAGGTGGAGGGAGATGGAGACTGGATCTCCCAACTTAGCCAGGCTGGAAGTACAGTGGTCGCTCCAAGACCAGTCCTATTACTGATTGACATTTGATCTGTTTCCAGACTGGGCTGATTTGCTCTCCTCAGGCAGCCTGGTCATCTCCCTCACCCTCAGTTCCTCACCCTGTTGGTACCAGACTTAGTGTCAGCCCGTCCCACTGGATTACCTTAATGCAGCACAGAGTTCTAGAACTCAAGTGATGTGCCAGCCTCACCTTCCCTCGCAGCAGGGATGACAGGCATGCACCACTGTGCTTAGCACAACACTAGATGTGGAATTAAGAAACTCTTTGAACTTTGAATTCTGCCTTGGCTACTTGTCACCTGTGTATTTTGGGGCAAAATCCTTCACCTTGCTGGAGCCCAGCTTTCATATCTGTCGAAAGGAGAGGTACGGAAAAATCTAGTGTGAGCCCCTGAGCTGACAGTGTAGTAAGTCTAATAGTTATAAGCAAAGATCAGGACTTGGAATCTAGAAAAGAGCAGCCTTGCTGTAGTCCTTTTCTCAGTTATGTCTTGGCCAAAAAAATTGTTTGGATGAGATTGAGGAGTGAGACTAGATTAGGGAGCAGGCTGACTGTGTTACCTGAGCAAGTTGTACCATTATTTTCTGTTTCTTTGTCCATTTCCCCTTCTTTATTGGCTTGGCCTACCCAGGAGCATTTATTATTTTTCCAGTTATTTAGATCTGTCTCTATCTGTGTAAAGAGTGTTTTGTAGTTGTGTTCAAATGGTTTCTGTGCCTGTCTTGGCAAATAGACTCTCAAGTACTTTATACTTTCTGTAGTAATTTTAAATGGAATTTCTCTATCTCTTCTTTTTGTTTTTTGGTTTTGTTTTATTTTGTAGTATACAGAAATACTCGTGATTTTTG